AACGTCTACTATTAATAACTTGTTTATATATGATAGTATTTGTGTTAACTTACATTATTTATTGTCGCATATGGTATTAAGTCTTCCCAATCCAACATACGTTTCCTCTTCCAGGAAATAGCCCTAGGAATATCATCTGAGGATTTTAATGCATATGTCCGCATGCTGGGGAAAGCCTCGAATATCCAAATCTACAAACAATATAATAACAAACATTAGTAATTGTTAAATAATTAATTATAATTTTGAAAACATTATATAGAAATTCTTACCTTAAAGGCCCAAACAAAGCCTGACAAAGTGTATTTCGACCCATCGCCCCGCAAACTTTTGCGGTCATCAAAGGCAGACGACAACTTAGTCCAGGTAGCTTTCCATATATACGAACCCCACGGAAACAGATTCCATGCATTTAGGTCCTCTACCAATAATATTAGCTCCTGAGGAATAGGTTGTCTGGCCTCTCTGCCTAGAAATTCGGCATACAAAAGTAGTAGAAGGCATACTCGGACAACATCGACGTCATTCATCCGAGTAAAACCATCTTTCTTATTAAACAATTTCTTCATGTCGTCGACGTGTAAGTTTGGCTTCTCTATTGACTCATCAGGAAAAACCCTGGATAACCATGATGGGCGGGTGATATGACGAGTGTACCGGCCTACATCATCGTGTCCGAATCGTAGACCAGTGATTAAGCAGAACTCCTTCCGCCCAAAACAAGTATACGCCGGTGGAAAATGAAACCATATCTCTTCCTCACCACGTTGTATATTGTCGGGTAGATCGCTAGTCATGGTCTGAAGCCACAAATGGGTCAAACTAGCATCTCCACCCGGATGTTGTACTCTCAGCCATGGCCCGAAGCAGGTTTCTTCAAACAATTTTCTTTGTGCAGGTGAAAGCTTCAAAGCAATTGTAGTGGCTAGGCTAACTTTATTCCTTAATGTTAATGAAGCCGAAAAAAATTTCTACAAAAAAACAATAAATATACCAAGTTAGATATACCAAAAATTACACTGTCAAGATATACCAAAAACAAAACAATAAACATAAATAGTAGTTTATTCTTGAAACTAAAATTTGCAACACTGTTTTTGTCTTTTGGTTGAAATGAAAATCGCAACGAGATAATGAGAATCGCAATGCGAAATGACTATCGCGACCAGACAATCGCAACGCGAAATGAAAATCGCAATGCGATTTTGGTTTCGCGTTGCGATTATCTCGTTGCGATAGTTATTTCCGCGTTGCGATTTTCATTCTCGAAACTATTCTTCTTCTGCATTACTTCAACCAAAAGACAAAGCAAAGACAAATACTAACTTCACAGGCTAAACAGTTTAGCAGTATTGGCAGCAATCGAATGAATTTAATAAGAAATCTAAGTGAAATGGTTAATCTATTATTGAAATTACCAGTAAACTTATCATCAATCTCAATATGAAAAACCTAAAATAATGCAAAAATTTCAAAATAAAAAAAAAACTAACCCTCGTAGGTTGATTTTCCATTTCTGAATGATTGTGAGGGATTTTTGACTGTGAATGGTTGTGAGGGATTTCGCCGGCGATGGGGACGGAAATCTTCGGAGATGGGTACGGATTTCGCCGTAGAGAGTGAGAGATGGAGATGAGACTGAGTGTTGTGTTTTTGGGTTTGAGGTTATGAGTTGCGATTACTGTGGACGGTTCATTTTCCGATTTATTAAGAAAAAATACGTGTTTAGAATTTGAAAAAAAAATACGCGTTAATACGAATGGCGCTATGTAAATCGCGTTGCGAAAGTCAGTATCGCGTTGCGAAAGTAAGTATCTCGTTGCGATTTTGTATTATCGCATTGCGATAGTAAGTATCGCATTGCGATTTTCCCAATTCGCGTTGCGATTTACTTATTCGCATTGCGATTTTCCCAATTCGCGTTGCGATTTACTTATTCGCATTGCGAATTGGGAAAATCGCAACGATACTGTAGACCATCGCAACGCGATTTTCAACTATCGCATTGCGAAAATGCAACGCGAATTTGCGATAATGGAGATCGCGTTGCGAATTAGCGATCGCATTGCGATTTTGTTGGTCATTTTGGCAAATCCGGAAAAAGTTGGTTAAAATCGTATATTATATGGGATTTTTGGTCACTGAGGTTATTTTCTCTTAAAAGTATTGTAAAAAATCACTTTTAAAAATGTTTTTGAAAAATGTAACAAAAACATGTAATTTAAAATTTAACTGTTTAGGATTGTTATTAAAAAGTGATTTTGAAAAGATAAAATATTTATTTTAGACATTATATTATAAATTGAAAATATAAAGATAAAAATATAATTTAACTGAAAAGAGATTTTCTACAGCAAAAGTTAAAAAATCACTTTTCTAACGTGATTTTAAATCAAGTTTTGAATGTTTAGTATTGGTTATGGGATGGAAAATCACTTTTCAATATCAGAGACATTTTTAAACTGGTATATCAGAAACGTTGGCATTTTCAGTCAACTTTTACCCTATTTTCTTCCTGATCCCTTCATGTTTGCTGCATCTTATTCTGCAGGACGTGATGGAAACTTACATTTCAAAACAATATTTTAGTAGGAGCTTTCATGTTAAACTATAATTGATTTTTCGGAAAATATTTTATTTATTTTTTAATGTTTAATTAACGAAAAATAAATGATCGATGTAATTTTTTTTGTCAACAGATTTTTCTTTATATTTTTTTAAAAAATAACTTGCGGTCTGATTTTTAATAAACCATTTTTCCAACTTTTCAAAATCTTGAAATTACTATTGTAGTTAACAACAAATATTACAACTAAAAATGTCCCAAAAATTATTTGGATCGTGCCTATAAATTAAAGGGAAAAAATCTTTTCAAATTTATTTTTCTAAGAGGAATTTTTTTTTTGAGTTTTTTCTAAAGCATATAATTAGACGAACACAGGCTAAGTCGATCGGTCGATGCCGACTATGGTACGTGTGTGCAATGACCTTATTACTCTAGATTCAACACGGGAAGTAAGAGAGTATTTTTTTTATAAATCCATTTATAGACACTTTCCTTCCTAATGCAAGATACATTTTTCTCTCTTTTTCTATTAAACTGGAGTAAATAAAAGATAATATTTGTTGAAAAATAACTTTTAATCATTTGACATTAACAACTCACACTCCTAATATTCATCGGCACATATCAAATAATAAATCCCTTGGGGGACTGTTTTTATGTAATAGCATAAAGGTGCTATTAGATACTATAATTTATTACTGTTTAAGCACTTGATGGGCTTTATACTGTTTATGGAAATTTTGAGCTTGATGGGTCATATATTTTATGGTCTTGCATAACAAGTTGTAAAAAGTTATAAATAAAATTATTAATTGTGACCCAAATACAATTTGATAATTGAAATCAAATTTTATTTGGTTATAAAAAACAACAATTTAAATTGATTTGAAAGTAAATTGATTCAACTCAATACAATTGAAACTTGAAATAAATTAAATATTGTTAAACAAAATATATAGGCTATTGGTTGTATAGTTGAGAATAGGGTCGGCGTTCAATCAAGCCGAGTTAAAGATTTCGAATTATTCAAGTTGACGAGTCTTATTTTATAACTCGAAGTTGATTTGAAATTTTTCGAGTCGAGTCAAGTCGAATTTTCGAGTTTATGTTTAAATTTAAGGGTAAAGTACGCATTCAGTACCTAAACTATCAGTTTTGGTCTGTGTTAGTACCCAAACTTTTAATTTTTTCAAAATCATACCTAACGTTTAGTTTTTATTTCATTTTAGTATCCCGCTATTAAAAAACCTAATGAAACTTTTGCACGTGACACTTTTCATGGGTAAATTACATTATTCATCACTTAACTATATTCTCACTCCTATTTTGGTCATTAAAGTTTAAAATCTTTCAATTTAACTACTCAACTTTTAAATTGCTCATGTTTTAATCACTCTAATTTATTTTATTAATAATATTTTGTGACATGATATTTTTTATTATTTTATTAATATATAATTAAAATAAAAAATTATATTTAAAAGTTAGAGTGATTAAATTAGAGGAATTTGAAAGTTAAGTAATTAAATTAAAAAAATTAAACTCAATGACCAAAATAGGAGTGAGAAGATAGTTGAATGATGAATGATGTAATTTACCCATAAAAAGGTGCCAAGTTGTAACAGTTCCGCTAAATTTTTAACTCGAGGTACTAAAATAAAATTAAAACTAAACATTAGCTATGATTTTGAAAAAATTGAAAGTTTAGGTACTAAACGCAGAATTTACCCTAAATTTAATTGTAAATATTTATAATATTATGATATTATTTGATTCAAATTTAAACGGTTTTTATAACCATACTCAATACATATATATTTCTTCATATATTTTCATATGTGATATATATATCATAGAGAGTCAATAGACTCGACTCAAACTTAAAAATCAATCCAGTACTTATTAAAAATTTCGAATTATTCGAGTTATTTAAGTTGTAAAATGTAACTCGATTTGAACTTGAATTTTTTTCGAATCAACACGAGTTTATGAAATTATAGCTCAAAATCAATTCTAGTTGAAAAAAAAATTGATTTTTTCAAGTCGAATCAAATTTTACTTAGTTGTTATGCTTGTGTAGGTTTTTCCTGAGCTGATGTAATTGTAAGTAAGGCATGGTTTCTTACGTGACTGCATAACAAAAAGCAAGAAGTGATAATGCTTAAGGAGGCAAATGACGCATCTTTCGATTTTTGGTAAACTACATGTTTAGTATCACAACTATTATCTTTGTGTCGTTTTAGTTATTCAATTTTTTTTTTATTAATCTGAGACAAGTATTAAGTATTATCTATTCAGAGAGTTATTCAAAGATAACTCTCAATCATTTTTATTGAACACTTTTATCCCTGAAATTCATGGTGCTTAAACCCGAAACCTCAAAGAACAACAACAATTCATTTACCACCAATGCAGTTTGGTTCATGTAATACTTATTATTTTTGACTTATAAAGAATGAAATATAAGACATACATCACATTAACGTCTTAAAACAAATACACGCATAACTTGTGGGTAATAAGTTCAAATTGATGTGAAAGGAAAAAACAAAGAACCTTCCTGCACACAGCACAATTTTTCACCTTTGATACTCCTTTACTGTATTGATGCTGCATGTGTAGGGACGACAGTGGCAATATATCACAGAGAGTTGAAATGGGAAAGTGATATGTAAGGCTGAATATTCTGCAAATACTTATCTAAACCACCATCTCTTCTCGGAAGACTTTCATGGCAGAAGGAGGCAACCCCAGAAGAACATTGATGCTTTTCCTCTCTTTGCCATGAGATAGGAACAAGATTACTTCCTTCTCCGGCAATGCAACTGGTCCCGACAGAACAGGCTCTCCCCATCCGAAATCTGTAGTGTGGAAAGATAGCCTAGACCATGTAGTGATCAGCAGGGTTGATGACAAAGATGGCCTAGCTCGGGTTACCTCGAAGTAGTCTATGGCGGATCTCATGTAACCATCCGTAACCATCTTGATTGCTTCCTGAATTAGACCCACGGCGTGTGAAAATGGTTTCTCCAATAGCTCGCCTGCTTCGCATATGGAGTTTGTCAACACAATGCCATTGCCGAAGTAGCCCTTTGGAAGAGATGGATTGAATTTGGACCTGCCATCGACGGCGAAGAGAAGCTTGGTTTGTTGCTCAGGCAGCAAGTTTAGTGCCTTGGTCCGAGCCCTCCACACGAATGCTGAAAGCGCTTGGAAAGTGGTACATTTATCGAGAACACAGTCCTCCATGGCATGTTTCTTCAGTTTCTCTAGCTTCTCAGGCTCGAAACAGAAAGATCTGTAAAGCATTTCATCATTGTAGAGTTCACCAGTACTGGACTTGTCCTCTATCTCAGCAAATTCCTGATGAAGATGCTTTATCTCAGGCGGGTTTCGGGCTTTAAGAATAGTTCTGTCGGAGAACGGAGGCACAGTGAGCGGCAAACCTCGGGCTGTTTGACCCCATGAGTTGACAAATTCCATGGCGGCAATGCCATCAAACATGCAATGGTTCATGCACAGTCCAAGCACGAATCCTCCACATTGGAACTTAGTCACCTGCATGATTATATACATATCATAAATGCTTGATGATTGATGCTCATCATAAGAAGAAGTAAATCGAAGTGTTTCAAATACCTGAGCTACAAGAGGTGGCATCTCCAATATGTTTGTTGCACCAGGAATGTCATAAACCAACTTCTCAAGAGTCTGGGGATCAGGCTTTGTTATGTCTCCAATATGCTCCATCTTACACTCAGCTTCAGCTTCCACGAACACAGTCCCTTCCCCGGTGCAGTCCACAATCAGTTTATGCTCCGAGCTGATAGTTAACCGACCAGCAAGTGGATAGTAATGAACAAGAACCTTTCTCAGTGCATCCTTGATCACTTCAGCAGCGTTTTCATTCACTTTCTCATCCGACTTAAAGCAGTAAATGGTGCGAACAATGACTGCAATGTTTTGGTCGAGATTTGAGAGGAAGTATAGACCCTTTGGTGTGTCTTCAGCAGGACGAACCAGGGTTGGCTCTCCTTGCTTCACAGTAATCAGCGGAGACTTGTCCATTATAGGAGAACCTTCAACAATGTCTACACCCTGAATCATGAACCAGAAATAAGACAAAAATATAACAAGCAAAGTTGGTCCCTAGCTAATGATTTTAAATGCCAGAATTTATTGTCTGAGAAAACAAACCATGTGAAAAGCTTCAGAGTATATTGAGAAAGAATTGTCAGGTCTGGTTTGAGGGAATCGCAGTGACCGAATGTGGAAACTATGAAACAGAGGATTGCTGTAGATGGAGCCGAATGATGGAGGTGGGTATATTTATGACAAAATCTTGGCGGTGCTTGTTTGAGGAGATGAAAATGACAGGGAAGGGAAATGTGGCTTTGTTTCATTGGAGTTGGTAAAACTATAATATTTGTATTTAATATGGTTTTGGTGAGATATGAGATGGGTAGGCCACTGGTCACAACAGAAAAAGGAGGCTGGCGTGCGCAAAAACTGCCCGACCCTGCATTGTTTGTTGGGGGTTGGCATCCCAACTTTTGCTTAACAATCTCCCAATTTTTCTTTTTATTTTCTTTTTATTTTCCCACTCCAACTCCTTTTTAGTAGTCTAATTAATATTTGTATATAAATAAATTAAATTTAATGTACTATTTGTTCACCCCCTAGGTTTTTCCCTAGGTTTTTCCCTTGTATCCCCACTCTTTTTTCTTCTTTTACTTGGCACATCAATTTTAATATTAATTGTAGTAGAAATTTCTTGTTTTTCGCTTATTTTCTTATATTATATCTTTATTTCCTTTTTAATTTTTAGTTTTAAATAATTATACTGACACGTTTTTCTCTTACTTTATAGCATGTCAGTGATATTATTAGAGTATTTTACTGAAATATCACTCGTACATGTAATAATTACATGTCAGACACTCTTTCTTCTAATATTATCGATCTAGCACCCTTTCTGACAAGGCGCGGATGGAGGGGTTCTATCCGAGCTGGCACCACGTCAAAAAAGGCGCGGCGAGCTGGCGCCACGTTAAGCTAGGCGCGGATCGCCATCCACGCCTTCCAGGGTTTTCTGACATGCGTACGTAAGGCACGGATAATGATCAGCGCCTTCTATTATTAGTACCACTAGAGCTGCTCGGCCTTTAAACCCTACCCCTCCCTATAAATAAGAACCCCTCTATGCAAACATCACCACATCAAAATTACTTGCTTAATTTTGCTTTATCAATTTCTTCTATTTTTATTGTAAGATAAAACTATTTTTTATTATATTATATTTGTTTTTATATATGATTATTTGAAAAAAAATTATTGTATTAATTATTTTGTATTATTTTTTACGGTTATAAAATTGAAAAGTGGGATCATACCTCGAGACATTTTTGCCGATACGGTAACAACATAAAATTATATTATTTAAATTATTGTGAAAAATTTTAAATTTTTTATTAGTTTATAATTTAAGTAATATACTATTTATTTAATTAGGCGTATTTAAGCTATTGCTTTTGCATATATAAGACTCACAATCTTTCAAACTCTCAAAATGACGCTTATTTCAGCTATTGTTTACTATGATGGAGAAATTTGGGAAGATGATATTGGCGCCGTCTTCGCATCAAATCATTCTGTTAGACTATCCTTCAAGAGAAACATAACTCTTGAGGAGCTCATAACGAAAATTTCAAGGAAGGTTCATGTTGTAAGTATTAGAAGACTGTCCTCACTTCAGTATAGATTTCTAACCGCAGTATTTTCGTTAACTTATACAGCGTTCGATCTATCCAACGATGACGATGTTCTATGATGGTTGATTTTCAAAATCGATATTTAGACACTAATACACAGATGTATACGAAATTTGTTGAAGTGTGTGTTGCTCGTGGTATGTCATTATGCTCCCACTATGGGCTGGCTCAACAAGCTGATCAAGTTGACAGCCCAACTCAAGTAATGTGTAATGATTTTAACTCGTTAATAGGAAATCCACATCATGGTGTCATCCCATCAAGTTTAATGGGGAGACATTCATCAGCAACTTCTTATAATCTGTACCAAGGTGGCTCCACAAACAATCCATATGGCAACATCGCGTTCAGTTCAAGGGGAATACATTCATCTGCTAATTTCTTTGACCTGAATATGGAGATGCCCTTGACGTAATAATCTGTCCAGTCCCATTTGACACGATGCCTTCAAGTTTCAATAGGAGGCATTCAACTGCGAGCTTCTTCGACCTCAATGTCAAGATGCCTTCAAGTTCAAGGGGAAGGCATGCAACTACCAGCTTGTTCGACCTAAATGTCAACATCGTAGAGGAACCCTCATCTTCACCAGAAGAAGCTCTTCGTGAGCCAGGTGCGGATGGTGCTGAGACTGGACTATTTATTCAACCAGAATCACCGTAGTTCAACATGGAATCCGGTGATGATGATGTAGATGAAGTTCCCACAAATACGGTACACACCGAACCTCCAGCCACATGTATGAAGCTGACTATAGTGTAATATACATGCCAAAATTTACGGATATGCCTAATTTCGGTGACTATAGATTTAATTCATCAGTCAATAATGGTGAGTCATATAAAGGAATGGAGTTTTCATGCAAAGAAAAAAGTGATTATGGCAATTAAGAATTACAACATTCGTAATTCTGTTCAGTCCAGAGTCGACCGTTCTACCACCGAAAAGTATGTCTGCAACTATGTTCAATGTGATAACGGATGCAATTGGATGGTTCGAGTATCGAAGAGGAAGAGGAAAAACAATATATAGGAAGTAGCGGTATACAACGGTCCTCACACATACTATGCTGGAGGGATCAACTAGGATCATCCCAACTTGGACTTCGACATTATCTGCCAAGCCATCTTGCCCATGGAAAAAGCAAGCTACTATATAGCTATTGCAGTGTTGATTTCAACTATACAATCGTAGTATGGGTATATCATTTCATACAAGAATGCATGGAAGGCAAAACAGAATACCATTAAAAAAACTTTGCGGTGAATGGGATGCATCTTACAACAAACTACGAAGTTGGTTTAGGGTAGTGTGCATATTGAATCCTGGGACAACTCTCGACTTCGAAACTTGTCATGTATACCACAATGATCGAGTGCTTCGTGATTGATGCCAATTCTACCGACTTTTTTAGACTTACCCATAGTGCATTAATGCTATGAAATACTGCAAGCCCATGGTCCAAATCAACAGGACATTCTTGTATGAAAATACAAGCAAGTTTTACTATTGGCAATAGTCTAAGATGGTAATCGTAACATTCTTCCAGTTGTTTTTGCCCTTGTCGAAGGAGAAGATACATATTCTTGGGCTTTTTTCCTCAGAAACTTAAACTTACATGTTGTCACAAGGGAAAAAATTTGTGTCATTTCAAATAGCGGAGCTGGAATCAAAGCAGCAATGGATTCTTTGCGTCCAATGTGGAAACCACCCTATGTCCAACATCGGTACTGTATCTGACACACTGATGCTAACTATCATGAAAGGTTCAAGAAGAATGATGAGCGCTAATTACTTGTGTGCATGGGTATTTTAAAATGTTTTTTATTTCTCAATCATTTTCATTTTTTTATGGAAACAAAGTTAGTAAGTTCTACATTTGATGCTCAGGATACGAAGTATTACCTGAAATATTTGAGTTCATGCTTCAAGAGTTGCGAGGAAAAAACGAGGAAGGATACGATTACATCAGCCTCATCAACAAAGAAATGTGGACAAATGCATATGATGGTGGATATCGATATGGACACATGACAACCAACTTGGCTGAGGCTATCAATTCGACCTTAAAGGGGCACGCCATTTACCAGTACAACTTTAGTTAAAATGACATTTTTGTTTGGAAGCGTTTTTTGCCAAGCTCGGGGACAAACTCAAACTTGGATGCAAAACGATCATGTCTATTACCCAAGATTAGTTACAGATCTACAAAAAAGAATTGATGCATTAAATGAAATGTCTGTAACAAGCTTCTCTATAACCCATAAATTATTTCGTTTCACAGAGATACCGCGACCTCTTCAAGGGATTCAAGCTAACTCATTCAAAGTTAATCTACGAGATAGATGGTGTGACTGTGGGTTTTTCAAGCTTTGAAGTATCCATGCTCTCATGTCATAACAGCTTCCTCGCATACCCGTCAAGACTATAACTGTTTTTTGGATCCCGTATACCAATTTTCAGAAGTGTTTAAGGTATATAAATTTGTGTTCTTTCTCTTAGGTAATGAGAAAGACCCTGATGAGGTTCAGAATTGACTTCCTATTGTACCAGATCCGTCCTTATTGAGGGAGAACGGTCGTTCAAAATCCACTTGAATTCATTGTGATATGGATATTCAGGAGACGTGTAGAGAAAGCAAAAGATGGGGCATTGTAGAAACCTATGACATAATAGGAAAAATGTCCATATCTTTTGTTATCAAGTAACCGTTGATGTTGTGACTAATGTAGTTGTTGTTTATGAAATCTAAGTTTATGTTATTTAATTTTCATTTACTTTCAGTTAATGTCATTTGAGGATCACCGATTAATTGGCAACTAAAGAAATTAAATAATAAAAACAATTCGAACAAACTAAAAACAAGAAAATGATCAAATTAAAAAAAATAAAAAGAACTAAATAATAAAAACAATTTGAACAATTAAATAATAATAAAAATTAAGAAACAAATAAATAAAAAGTACATACTTAAATAAAAACTTTACAATTGCTGGTAAACAAACAAAATTAAATAAAAACATAACGAAGTAAACAACTCTATCGATGTCGGCGTCTTGAGTGTGTTCTGCAGGGCGGTGGTTATTTGTGTTGATAAGGATTTCTTCGTATAACTTGTTCTGCCTCCTTAATCTCATCGTCGTCATCATCATCATCAGAAGCATATACATTTTGTTGATAAGGAACGAATGACGATGTAACACCTCTATAGAATAAGGACCCTAGAGGTGTATGACTGACTACCCCATCGCTCACAGAAAACTAAGAAAACTATGAAAAAACTGACATCGGTGAGTGTTAAAACTGAACCGGAGGTGTCTGTGAATGTGGTGAAGCTTTACCCGCCAAATAACCAGTATATGAACCCCAAGTTGGATCTTCAAGCATAAAAGTATAATATCTGCCACAAGGGTCATAAAACTCTGCGGCGGTGGCAGCATCTGGTATGGAAGCAGTGGCATCTGACCTAGTTGCAGTGGTATATAAAATGGCTAAGGTGCAATCTGATACGACTGTGATGCCATCTGAAATGACTGCGGAATATACAACGGTGTAGA